GTATGGGTATGTGTATTTTATTTTTTTTTATATGCCTTCTATGTTTTTATCCATTTATTTTTCAGGTGAGCGGACAGATGTTGGGTGTGTGGTCCTGTGTTTTGTTGGTGTTTATTTAATATAATCCTAATCGCTATTTCAGTCTTTCTATCTTTCTAATTACTTCTCTCTCTGTTTTTCTCTCTCTCTATTTTCTCTTCAAAAACATAATGGTGTGGAGGGGATGGCTATAAGGGGAGAAGGGAGGCCATCCAAGAAAAAAAAAAGATGAGGAGTCGGAGGAAACTTGTTTTGTTTTTTTCATGTAACAGCGGGKTTGGAAAGRAGACRTGAACATTGGTTCCATCTTGCTAGTTTAAGTACCGGCTTCTGGGAGTGGACCATTTCCAGTAAAGTGACGTTCAGAAGGACGCACTGCTCCACATGAACAAACACGCCCACAAAGTTATGACCAATGGAAGTATAAATCAGCCTTAAGGTATACTGTAAGTATTCAAACATATGAAGCAGCAACTTTGCTTTTTTATTACGTGAAATGTGTACATTGTATTTTAAATCATTATTATAAAGTGCATAATAGGAATATATAGTTATTATATAAATCATATATTGTGACATTAGTTATTTTATATGATGTTGACAGTGGTGTATTCCTGCAGCAGTGTAAACACTATTATTTACATGATGTATACAAGTCCGAGCTGGGTACTCCTGCTCCATAAAATGGTGCARGTGGGAGTTTGRTTTCACTGAAATCAYGACAGCGAGCAYGTAATGCCAGCATCTTCAGAGTGGTCACAGTTGTGCACGCTCCAGGATATATGGGAGCAACCCAGGAGGGAGGCTTCAGYACCGGTACACTTGAGATTGTCCAGTTGGATTGTTCCTGCGCCGGGTCCGAAGTGAGCTTCTGCCCAAGCCGTCATAGCCTCTCCACAGCCCACCAGACGACACACAACCTGGGCGTCAGGAAGGTCCCAGGCGTCATCGCACACAGTGCCCCATTCAGAGTTCAGGTAGAYCTCCACTCGACCCTCACACTGGTGCTGACCACCCACCAGTCTCAACATCCCTACGTTTAACCACAGAACAGAGCATTAAATGACGGTACAAGTCTGGTGGAAAACAATGCATGTATGTACCTACCTTCAGAGGGTTGAGTGGTAGCAGTGGTGTCTGATACATTTTGTGTTACGCTCGAGTCGTCTGTGAMAAGGACAAAAGCTGCAGGATCAGAGGAGAGAAAACACACTGAGAACTTCCCAGAGGATATGGACAGGAAATATCAGATTACAGAAGAATCAGCAGTGCACTCTTCTCCAGTAACTGTATCGATCATTATAGAAAAAAATATATAGGCACAACATGGGGTCATAACTGTTTATGCTTGTAAATGAGTTTGTAGTTCCAAGTTTGAGTTTAGAGCTGAAAACTGAGCTCCATGTATGTGTAGAAAAAAAGTGTGAGTGTGTAAAAAATTTATTTGTTAAAAAAAAGGTACCAAATTTAAAAAGTGCTTCTGTGAACATCTGTTTATTGGTACTTAAGACTGTCTTTTTGGGCCATCCAATCAGTAAACAGGTTTGGTTGGTCTGCCCGTTCCGACACAGGTCCTGAAAGCGATTTTGATGATGGACCAGGGTGTCCGAGCCTGACCCTTCCACAGTTCCTTCACTGCTCCATCTGGGATTTCTCCCATAGACAAGGATTTCTTCAGGAGAATTTTCGTCCGGGCCAATCAGAGAACAGAAGGCGGAGTTTTGAACGACAATGTCGATTTTCTGCGCAGTGTCTGCTAGTTATTTTAACACACGGCAGTGGAGGAAGTGAATGAAGCCAGTCTGTGTTGATAAGGCTTCAAATTAAATTAAATTTGTCTGACAAAGCAGCAGCTCTCATTTGAAGTCGTCTCGTTTGGCTCGGTACTTTTCTCCTCTCGGTAGGGTTGTTTTTCAGCGCACACAATTTCCGGTTAGCTTCTTAGCTTAGCCTCCTTCACAGTGATATATGTCGCAGCCAACCGATCCAATCATTTTAAACTTCAGCAGAGGCCACGCCTCCAGCAAGAATCGCTTCTCTATAGCCGAGAGTCCAGACCCTCGATCCAATCATTTTAAACTTCAGCAGAGGCCACGCCTCCAGCAAGAATCGCTTCTCTATAGCCGAGAGTCCAGACCCTCATACGAAGCAAAACAAAACCCGTCTTAAAACCCACTTGTTTTGTTTGGCTTTTGATACTGTGTAGGGGGTTGTGTTGTCCATTTAGTTTAGATGTAATTTTTGTAGATTTTTTTGTTTTGTTTTTATTGTAGATTTTTAAAAAATTTAGGCATTTCATTGTTTTATATGCCCTATTTTTACTTTGTTTTCTATTTCCTGTTT